CTAGCATTTGTCAATTGCTAGAAGAATTTTTTTAAAGTTTTTACTATATACATAAAGTGAAAATCAATGACCCCCGGGGAGGGGCCGATTTTGACCCCAAGGCTACAATTTGAACAATCTGGCTAGAGGTGTACCAGACAATGCCTTATGCAAAATATCTAAGCTCTATGCCTTTTGGGTCTTTACAAGAAGGTATTTTAAGTTTTTACTATATGTTCATATAGTGAAAATCAATGATCCCCGGGGCTGGGCCCATTTTGACCCCAGGGCTATAATTTGAACAATCTTTGTAGAGGTCTACCAGACAATGCCTTATGCAAAATATCTAAGCTCTTGGCCTTTTGGGTCTTTACAAGAAGGTATTTTAAGTTTTTACTATATGTTCATATCGTGAAAATCAATGACCCCCGGGGCGGGACCGATTTTGATCCCAGGGCTATAATTTGAACAATCTTGGTAGAGGTCTACCAGACTATGCCTTAGGCAAAATATTTAAGCTCTAGGCCTTTTGGGTCTTTAATAGAAGATTTTTTAAATTTATTCTTATAATTCCTTTTGGTTGCCATGGCAACCAGATTTCTTCATGGAATGAAATTCTTTGAACAACTTTGGAAGATCTTTACCCAAGGATCAATCCTGCCAAGTTTGGTTGAAATTGGACTAGTGGTTTTTCACAAGAAGATTTTTTAAGTTCATTATATAATCTATATAACACACACACACACACACGCACACGCACACGCACACGCACACGCACACGCACACACACACACACACACACACACAGGTGAATCGCTAAATGCCACCGCATCGCAGATGCTGCGGTTGCATTAAAACAACACAACTAAAATGAAGCGGGCACCTGTTTCATGAAACAAATTTCCGAGTATTTTTTCCAGCTACCACGGTCACTTTAAAACAATTTTCATACCAATTAATGTGTGTTTTTTTTTTCTTCAGAAAGCTTTTTGGAGTAAACTATCCAGAATTATGGACCTGCGTGGATGAGAAATTAAAAAAAAAAGAAGAAGAAATTTACATGGAATGTTGTTTTCGTTATACATGTATAATGTCTATAATGCGAGGGACCGTGTTTGTCATTTATTCATTTTATTATTGATAAAAATTATTTTGAACATTGAAAGTATCGTTTAATTGTTAATCAACCTGAATATAAATAACTGTCAAACTCCTTAGAATTGTGTCTTCTCGTAGTCGCTAAGGCACTAGGAATCCGTACGTTGCTCTTTAAACATATAAACCTCATGTTTCTGCTCTTAACATATCCCTATTTTCATCATAATCGAGGGAAAAAAATCTATAGATACCAATAGGTCCTATGTCCTATATTTACTTGGAAAGCTGAACAAAATACTTTTTTTATAAATAAAAAACGGTTTTAAAGTGAGGAGTCCATTTACAAAGTAGCTTTTCTAAAAAGATAATGATGATTCTGATATTTCTAAGAACGCTCTGACAATAACGAATAAGTTGTGCATCTGCTCCAATAAAATAATATTTTCATCCTTTCATAGTTATTAATTTTTTGCATAAATGGATGTCTTAAATATAACATTAAACTTGATATTTTACTAAGTGTTTCGTCGTTTCTCAGTAACGCCGTACTGCATACAAACCAGTGTGGTTATCAACAGTGTATTTGTCACGTGACATTAGCGGCGATGTCTTTATTTTTTTACTATTCTATCAAGATCGTTAGTTAGGAATATTTTCACAAATAAAACCTGAAATTGATGTAGAAATGAATAATCTTTAAAGGTATCGTAACAAATTTATTCAAATATGAATTCTTATACGATTTTAAACGGTCCAAAGCTTGCGCTCAAAATCCCGGCGCAAATTTCACAACAGAAAAGGTACTTCTTATGTTGTACGTAGAGGCGAGATATTGCCCAGACACGAAAATAGCACAATATCTCGTCGCGCAGTACAATTAGTTGGACTAATCTACTGTGTATATAAATTACTACTTTATATACACAGAAGATAAAACAACGTTTTGTCGGTAGATTTTTAATGAATTGATGATGTGTGTATTAAAGATGAAAAAATTATAAAACTAACGGCGGGTAATCGGTCAAAAGGGGTAGTCGATAAAAAAATATGCCATCAAGTGCCTATGGTCAAGTCCATCGAGAAACAAGAGGGCCATGATGACCCTGAAGTCGCTCACCTGAATATAGGCCCCTGGAGCAGAGCCAGTTTAAACCCCATGGCTTTTATTTGAACAAACTTGGTAGACACCCATTAGAAGATGTTTCATGCTAAACATCTAAGGTCTAGCTCGTTGGGTTTTTCAAAAGAAGATTTTTAAAGTTTTTTCTTTAAAAATATAGTTAAAACAATGACACCCTTGGGGCAGGGCCAGTTTTGACCCAAGGGCTTTTATTTGAACAATCTTTGTAGACACTTACTAGAAAATGTTTCATGCTTAATATCTAAACTCTAGCTATTCAGGTTTTTTTTCAAAGAAGATTTTAAGTCTTTGCTATACACATATAAGGAAAACCAATGTCCCCCAGAGCGGGGCCAATTTTGACCCAAGGGCTTTTATCTGAACAAACTTTGTTGACACTCACTAAAAGATGCTTCATGCTTAATATCTAAACTCTAGCTATTCGGTTTTTTTTTCAAAGAAGATTTTAAGTCTTTGCTATACACATATAAGGAAAATCAATGTCCCCCAGAGCGGGGCCAATTTTGACCCAAGGGCTTTTATTTGAACAAACTCTGTTGACACTCACTAAAAGATGCATCATGCTTAATATCTTAACTCTAGCTATTTGAGTTTTTTCAAAGAAGATTATTTAAGTTTTTGCTATACACATAATCATAAGGGAAATAAATGACCCCCGGGGCGGGGCCAATTTTGACTCAGGGCTTTTATTTGAACAAACTTTGTAGACACTCACATGAATATGTTTCATGCTTAGTATCTAATCTCTAGCTATTTGTTGTTTTTTTTCAAAGAAGATTTTTTAAGTTTTTGCTATATACACACATAAGGAAAATCAATGACCCCCGGGGCGGGGCCAATTTTGACCCAAGGGCTTTTATTTGAACAAACTTGGTAGACATCCATTAGAACATGTTTCATGCTAAATATCTTATCTCTAGCTGTTTGGGTTCTTTTAAAGAAGATTTTTAAGTTTTTACTATATTCATATAGGGAAAATCAATGACCCCCTGGGGCGGGGACAATTTTGACCCCAGGGCTTTTATTTGAACAATCTCGGTAGACACCCATAAGAAGATGTTTCATGCTAAATTTCTTAGCTCTAGCTCCTTGGGTTCTTTAAAAGAAGATTTTTAAGTTTTTACTATATGTATATAGGGAAAACCAATGACCCCCTGGGGCGGGGCCAATTTTGACCCCAGGGCTTTTATTGGAATAAACTTGGTAGACACTCACTAGAAGATATTTCATGCCAAATATCTAAGCTCTAGCTTTTTGGGTTCTTTAAAAGAAGATATTTAAAGTTATTTTCTTTTGGTTGCCATGGCAACCAGAGTTCTGCATGGAATTAAATTCTTTGAACAATTTTCAAAGGTGATCACCTAAGGAACATTCCTGTGAAGTTTGGGTGAAATTGGCTTAGTGGTTTATGAGGAGATGTCATTTGAAGCAAAAGTTTACGGACGACGGACACAAAAGATCACAAAAGCTCACCCTGTCACTTTGTGACAGGTGAGCTAAAACTTCAATACCTATATGTATATAATAACATATTCATATAATGGAATAGGAACCTCCTGTGGTCTAGTTTACGTTCTAGTGTCACTATGTTTAAACCTGATAAACAGGTACAAGTTAAATGTTGATGCTGCATATCAAAGACGCCGCCAAATGATATGAATTGTTACAGGTAATTTACAAAATCGTTCTCTAGTACAGTTGAATATCCGAAGCACTACGTGCTGTAATCAATTTTTCCTCCATGTTCTTGTTACTGAAATGTTTGACAATGATTGAAACGTCTGGTCGAAGCAAAATCAATTGCATAACAAGAAAAATTAAAATGATTGGTAAATTTAAAATGAATTCAAGACAATATGTGCCGAGAATATGTCCATTTAAATATCGGTGCTAATTGCATAATGTTCGTTCGAATGAATTTGATGCCGAACTGTCTCTTATTTTACAAATAGCAAAAATTTGTCTGTAATATTAAATAATAGTTATATATATAATAATCAATTCTTAGTTACGTTTTGTTTTCTTATTTATAAAAGATTAAACTATTTGATTAAACTAAAGATTGCATATTCACCCAGAATCTAGGTATAGGGCCACTAAATGTAATAAAGAATCAAGGTGATAGAGAACAATCGTCAGTCACAGAATCCTTCAAAATAATCTATTGCAAATGTTTGTGATACATTTTAAAATAAACGTACTTTTTCAATCAGTTTATTTGTTTTATAACTTAACTGTTAATTATTTTCATGAATTACATGTCGAACACGATTTGCCTGTTTTGCAAAAATATTTCCGCTGTGTCCGTATCGCCAATAAAATCTCCGTTGCATATTTTATTGATACCTCTTGTTCCCTGCCCAAATTTGGTTCCCGTCATTAGACTAGAACGATCGACTATAGACTGGCTCATTGGCAAGTTATTTATGTTGTGAATGCAGGAAATGATTTAGTGGTCCTAGACCTAGTGTTTTAAGGAAATACAACATTTATTAGGTAGATGAAATAAGATATTATAAAAAGAATATGATATTCAAACATGGCACTATCACTTCAGTTAAACGTTTATTTTAATCCCTTAAAGCTCTGTGACATGTTGTACATCAGAAAAGCTATTTTTATAAGAAAATTTGAAAACAATGTGATTTTGTTAAACCAAGATTAAAATGCACAAAATCAATCAAGTCTTAAATTTTCCCCATTGCTATATGAACAAATGCATATCTACTAGACGGCGCAAAAATTTCTATTAATAGAAATGTTATAATGGAATACTACTTACACAAATCCTCATTTTTAATCACAATGTTTCTCTTTCATTTTACACGTCAATTGTCCTTTGTTGATAGGAATACTATGATCATATGAATTTTTATATCCAAATATAATATAACAAGATCAAACATGTAAATATATATGTACAAAAAATACGCGTATAAAACTATATAAACGATTGTGTACCAGCATTATATAAACTGTTTTCACGAATGGGCGAAATCTACGCTTACGCCAGTACTTTCATACTCGGCCAAGTAGAAAGTAGGACACTTCGCTGTTAAAAATAGAATATTACCACATTCTCCGTCGGTGACTAATGTGTACAGAAGTTTAAAACATGCACAATTTATGTAATATTTATAGTACGTTACGAGGATATAACACTGGCTGGGGCGAAATCAAGGGATATTTCTGCTAAAAATTGGCGAGGCCGTTAAGCCTTGACAATTTTTTGCAGAAACATCCCGAGATGTCGCCCAGCCAGTGTTAGAACGAGTTTCATATACTTTAACTGTTTTATCGATCGCAATGGCATAATGTCTTCTTTTTTTGTAAAATAAATAAATAAATAAATCGTTAGCTACATTACAGTTATTTATGATAAGTAAGTTTTTTTCAAGTTTTCGCTGACGCAAACAAAAAAAAAGATATACAAAAGACATCCAATGATAGAGGCGGATTGTAAACTGTTATCAATATTGATTCAAGATTAATGGACTTTTTTCAGTGGAAATAATTCATTCAGCTGATGTACCTTTTGATTAAATGAGAGTAAATTTCATTTCATTCTGTGTTTATATTTTTCATTGTATTCATTTATTTTATTTTATTTTATTGATTCCCATTTTTTTGCTACTGGGAATAATCGTTACCACTGCCCCATTGGAGCATCTGTGAAAAAAACTATACTGATAAATACACGGTGCGAAAAAAACTTAACCGCTATTTAGTGTCCAACTTTACTTGTCATCCAATGAAAACGCTGTATTTTTTAAAAATAGTGTGTGTTAATTTTCATAGAAAGACAAAAGTCGATACTATATGAAATTCTTTTCATAGTCGTCTTCTATTTTTCAAAGTGCTTCATAGTACTGCGTTCCTAAAAATAGTCATTTGCATAAATTTGCGCATGCGTTTTTGAATATTAAGTAAGTTGAAATGACGTCAAAAGGTCAACCTGCATTAAATTTGTATTATGGATAAAGGATATACATGTAGTTCAGATTTCACGAAAAATGATAATGCACATGTATAAACCAACACAAAATTTCAATAAAAATTTCTTTATTACGAATCTAGAAAAAGGCCTTACCTTTAATCTCATGAAATTCCTTATTTATCCCATATTGATAAATAGTCTATTAAAACAATTCTTTCAATAACAGATTTACTTTTAAACACTGAATTTGAGAAAATGAATGAAAAGTTAACTGTATGGCATTATAAATCCTTTAGTTATGAAATCTTTAGTTACATTGACAAAAAACTGTTCAGTGAAATTTACTATACATGATCCTTTTGTAAGATTTATTAAATCTACACCTCAATAATCATTTTCTTTCCGTGTCTTTTCACAATAACTATTTTTTTCACACTAACGGGCACATTTATTACCAGAGCCTCCTCGTCTGTTGTCAGACTGTTATTATTTATGTCAGGCAGTTGCTTTACCGGAACAACATCCTTGTAAGGTACCGTTTCACATGGAAGTGAAGTTCTCTCTTATTTTTTTAGAGGTGGCAAATTAGGCTCAAGAGCATTACTGATGTCATTTAGAAATTCAAACTGCTCTCGTTGATAGGACTGTACCGCATTGCTCTTATGCTTGCTTCTACTCATTACTGCCTTGTCTTGGAAATTTTTATTATATAATGTGGTACAAAGTGCAACCCGAGCAGAATGATTACTAATTTTTCTATCCGTCATATCAATGCCTGCTTCATTATAAAATCTCTTAATCATAGACTTAATAGAATTTTGGGCTATTGTTGCAGCACCAAATTTAGGAGATCCGTTTTCATCTACACTTCCTGTTGGCTTCCTATAGAAAGCACCCACCCGCGGTATCAAGGACAAATACAAGTCATAAAGATTTATAATAGAATATGCTCTGTCTTTCTGCTCGTAATGAATAATGGGCTTAAGAGATGCATTTCGGCTTTTCAGCCCTCCTTGAGAATTTTTACGTAACCCTGGTGTAAATTTAATATAACGCAAGTCCTTGGCACTGTCTTTTAAAATTTCAAACTGATCAGCCTGGCAGCTCACGTGCTCCTGAAAGCCACGAAACCCAAATAATTTCCCGTTGTAAAAGAAAACTGCATTGCTTAAACCTACTGCAGTATCAAAGGTAAACACCCCTGATTGCCATAGCTGAATTTCGTCTTCGATTGTCACAGGATCAGCTGCATTTGTTTTTATGCCTATTCCCTGTGCATGGAGTTCTTTCATGCGAGTGTCTAAGCACTTTCTGAAATCAATGAATTGTGTTTCTCCTCGAAAAAAGTTAATGTTAGGTCTTTGACACTCTGTATTAAGATAAGGTTGCAGACCACTGACAATTTGTGTAAGAGTGTTTGGTGGGTATTCTTTACCGTCTTGCCTTTTAATTTCCATGACAAAGCGCTGACCCCAGTAGTCAATCATGTCATCATTTAAAGCACAAACATCTTCAGGAATAGGATGGACACTTTCTATCTGAGTAGACTCCTGACTGTTACGGAACTTAGCCCAGCCTGCCCAAACTCTCAAAGCCCACTTATTAGCATCCCTTGTTTTTTTTCGGAATACTGTTCATATTACGTTCACGTATCTGTTGTGATGATACTGGAACTCCAAATCTTCTGGAATCTAAAAGAAAGAAATTTTCAGTTTTTTCATACATTCGTTAAACAGTAAATGCATTTGTTTTTCTAAATAAGATGTTAACTACTACATAAAAAAAAATAATTGCATAAAATGTACAATAAATAACTGAATACTGTTAAAACTCTATAAGTCAAACTCTCTTAACTTGAATGTCCGCTTAAGTCCAACATATTTTCAGTATCAAATCAAAATTGATTTATTATGACTGAAAATTGAAAATGTTTGACCAAACTTCAGCAAGATCTAACTTAAATTGTTTAGACTGGTTCAATCGACTTCGAGTAAACGAGTTGTAACTGTTTAGAAATTCGCCTTACCAGGTCGGTCAATGTTATTGTGCTCTGCACTCGTGTCATCGGGATGTGTCTGTGCTTTAATATTATTTTCTGCAATTGTAGCAGAAACTGGTGCTTTATCAGCGGTATGTGTATCATTCTTGAGCTTACCAGCAACACCTGCAGACAAAGTAAAATTTTAACTAAGAGTAAATTTGAAAACATTGGAAAACAACACGATTCGGCAATTTATATGGCTTTCGAAGGTATTACGTAATGTTTCATTTAAGTTTACTGATTATTTTCTAAAACATTATTATTTATTCTTAAAATTATACTTTAATTTACTAAATATGAAAGAAATGAGAGATGAAAACACATGATTGAGTTGATTTGACACGTTTTCGCGACCCAAATTTTGAATGATTTGGGTTCGGTAGACCTTGTAAACACGAAGTTATTGATTTCCGTGGTAATTGACAATCTTTCTTGAATTTATTTAACATATTATTAAACATTTTTCTGTACTATATCCTAATTACAATTTAATTACTTATAAAATTGAAACCTTTAAAGTAGTTCGGCCCACATAATTTACATCCCAAGACGATTCGTCAATATTACTATGTTTATATTTTAGTGATAGTATAATACAGTGTTAATTAGTTTGAAAAAATACATTATTTTGAAGTTACATTACAAAGGTTAGTGTTAAACTTCGTAAATTTATAGGGAATAATAAATCTATTTCTATTTTATTATATATTATTTAATATTCTAGATCCTGGTCCTGGCTGAAATTTAGGGTATTGCTGCTGTAGCCTGTATACCATACATTCAACATGAAAATGACTGTCAGGTTTGGTAAATTGAAATTAATTCTTATTAATTGATATATTTGAATTTCTTTACATTACAAAGTATAAATGTTTTAACTACAGGAAATTTTGACTTGTCTTAACCTTTTAAATTGACCATTATCGTGAAGAATTATATCTTCTGTGTCGATGGACCATAGGATTATGTGAAAATATTGGAAATGGAATAGAATACATGGTGATTATGACGGTAGGGGTGCGGATTTTTACCGGCGAACATTTTTATCTTGTGTATTATTATAGATGTTGAAATATGAATTTTTTTCAAAACGGCTTTTATTAAGTTTTTTTGATATATATGATCAGTACATGTGCTGGGATTGACAAATATGCATTTTATTTGGATTTTAAAGGCGTTTTGAGCTCCAAACCCCAAGTGTCTATGATAAATATTAACCAGCCAGCCTGCATATCAAACAAACAGTGTTTGCCATTTCATCTTTTTAAAATGTTCCCGCGTTTACACTACAACCTTTTCCCACATGTATATATTTTCCTCGTTCTTGCATCTTTATCAGTGTTTATTCCATAATGTTTGTTAAATCCATCTGTGAAATATCAAAACTGGGTGATAGGAAACATGTTAGCCAAGTCTGAATGATCAATTCCATTTTTAAACACTTTTTAACACTTATAATTGTATCTGTTGACAGTAAACAACTTACAGTAGAAGCCATTTTTATTTTTGGCTGTTGCATTGTGGTAAATGATGAGTCAATTACGGGTCAGACTACCCTATTGTTTTTACTTCCATGTGCTTATGTTATAAGCATGTGTAGAGGTCAGTGTCAAAGACTAAGCTGATAATTTTATCATCGATTTTACTAAATAATGGCCTTTTGTTAAAAGTTTGTGAACTTTTTTTTTGTCTTAAGGATTATACATGAAGTTCACTAATTAAGGTCCACAATCATTGCATGGATTTTGACTTATTTATGAACATTTTCATCTTACAACAATGTATGGTTAAAATTGTGCATGCATCATCAATATTCAAAATTGCTGAGTGTATTAAATGAAACAAAACTTCATTCATGTCTTGAAATTAAAATTCCTTACAAAGACCCATTACCATGACATGGCTTTTAACTGAAAAATGCCCATTTTAACAGCATTAGGTAAAAGCTTGTTCACAAAATTACAAAAGCTCATGAGTGATGGTATATCTTGTCTTAAATCAAAAGACACCTTCAACTTAACAATTTCTTATCTTATTAATGAAGTTATTAATTGACATAGAAAAAAGGTCAAGGTCATTTGTTCAGTGAAGACATGTTTTTACGTGGTTAGAAAAAAAATAATAAAAAATGTGTTTTAGATGGATAATTTGGAATATATATAGACTAAGTGGTAGCATAAACTGTACAACAAATGTCGGAAAAGGAAATTTCTTCAAAAACACAAACTAAAAACAAGAAAAATCGAAAGAAAAAACGTCAAGCTAGTTCATCATTGAATAATTGTGAGGCGCCATTTTACACACACAGTCAATTACACGAGAATAACGGGACAATAAAAAAGTACAAACAGGATTGTGAAGGTAGTGTACCAAATTATACCAACTTTTTTCAACAATTTGATATGACTTATCAACAGCAACAGCAACCATTTGCCATGTCGCAACAAGTTTATATACAAAGCCCGCCCCCAAACCACCCCCCACCCAGCCAGTTTAACAACGGGGGCATGAACTTTCAACCAGCAACCCCACCATGGGCAACAGAACTTTTGGATGAAATTAAACAAATAAAACAAACCGTTAATGCAATTAATCTTAAGGTGACTGATTTAGAAAGTAAAATGAAAACTTTGGACACAAGAGTTAAAGAAACAGAAAAAGCATGCGACTTTGTTGCGTCTGAAAATGAATCTAATAAAAATGAGATTTAATATGCAAAAGACGAAATTAAACAAGTGAAAAAATCGTTCCAGAATTTAGAAAAAAAATTTAAATCGATCGTCCAACAACAAGACGAAATTGATGAAAAATTAACAGATATAGAAATGCGCTCAATGCGAGACAATCTTCTGTTCTACGGCATACCGGAGGACAATGTTACAGAAAATTGTACGGATATTGTAAAGGATTTCTGCAGGGATATCTTGAAGGTGGAAAAGGTTGACGACTTTTTTTTTGACAGAGCCCATAGACTCGGGGATAAAAGACACGACAAGATCCGTCCTATAGTGGTTAAATTCCACTATCCTGCTGAACGCGAAATTGTTCGTCAATCTTCATTTGACAGGGCAGACACGCTGAGAGCCGCTAAGAAAGGGGTAGGAGCTCAACTTCCGAGAAGTGTACGTGAGGCCAGGAAACTTCTATATCCAGTGATGAAAAAGGCAATAAAATGAACATAAAACAGTTAAATTTGTAGGAAAAAAACTTTTCATTAATGGTGAAGAATATCAGGACATGAAACAATAGGCAAGTCGAGAAGAGCAATCTTTAAACATTCTCTTCTGGAATGTTAACGGACTTAAACGTAAAATTAGTGATGAGGACTTTTTGGAATTTATTACTGATTATGATTTATTATTTTTTAACGAAACTTGGATATCAGGTAAAGAAAATATTAATTTTGATGTAAAAGATTATCATTGTGAACACATTTTTGGGAACAAAGCTAGGAATACTAGAAAAGGTCGCTATAGTGGGGGCATATCGTTTTATTATAAAAATAATCTTAAAAACTATGTTAAAATTGTTGAGAAAAATCAGCATGGTTTAATTTGGTATCGCTACCGGGCTTTTAATAGCCAATGGCCGCTTGTTGAATGACCGTGACGAAGGTTGTTTTCCATATTGTTCGTGTAGAGGACAAAGCACGGTGGACTATTTGTTACTAAATCAATGCGACTTCGAAACAGTTACACATTTCTCTGTACTGGAATTTAATGAACATTCGGATCACGCACCGTTAACATTTAGCATAATGACAAAACAAACTCAGTCGCAGAACAACGATGCGCAGGAATACGAAAATAAATCGACTAAAATTATATGGGATAGTGAAAAATCCGAAATGTTCCGAACACACATTATGAATAATCATGAATACATTGAAATGTTAACCAATGGTGCATTAAGCAGCCCGATTGACCAGACGGTAAACAACTTTACTCAATTTTTATATGACAACGCATTAATCATATTTGGGAAAATTTGTAAAACAAATAGATATGAATCGAATAAAAAAGTGAGCACTAAATGGTTTGATGTTAATTGTTACAACGCCAAACGAGAATTGAAAGCAGCTCGAAATAATTTTAATTGAACAAAAAATGAAGAAATGCGACATAATTTTATACACTCCCGAACTAAGTACAATAGGATAAAGCGTACGGCAAAACGAGATTTTAAAATAAAAGAAGGGCATCGTATTAATAATTTAGCAAAAAAACGAACCACGTAAATTTTGGGAAAATATCAAAAAACCTTTAAATAGAACACATACAAAGGCTGAAACGTTAACAGTTAATGAATTACATGACCATTTTAAAAGTCTGTTTGGTGAGTCATTATTGAATAATCAACCGGACCCGGACTTTTCCCAAAATATAATCAATGAAGATATGAATTTCACAGAAGCAGAACTCCGCGCAGCAACTTTTTCTCAGAATAATAATAAAATGCCAGGTATCGATAATTTAACAAGCGAAATCTTTAAATCGACATATGACATTATCTCGCCAGTATTACTTAATTTATATAACAGAATTTTTAATACAGGAGAATACCCGCGCTCGTGGGGGGAAGGGATTATTACTCCAATTTTCAAAAAAGGCAACATAAATGATGCAAAGAACTATCGTGGAATTACTTTAATTAATGTTATAGCAAAAATGTACTCACAATTATTACTTAACCGTTTAACGAAATGGACTGAAAAACACGAAAAGATTACACAAAGCCAATTCGGATTTCAAAAAGGAAAATCGATAATTGATTGAATATTAATCCTAAATTCTATAATAGCTAAAGTTTTAAATTCTGGTGAAAAACTGTATTGTGTGTTCATTGATTATCAACAGTGTTTTGACAAAATTGAAAGAAACTTTTTGTGGCAAAAACTTTTGTCAGATAATGTCAGTTGTAAATTTGTTATGGCCAAAAAATCAATGTATAAAACAGTAAAGTCTTGTGTAAGGTATAAGTCAGATACATCTGCATTCTTCAACTCAGACGTGGGCTTGAAGCAAGGTGACCCCAGCTCACCTCTGCTCTTCATGCTCTTTGTGAATGACATTTTAGATAATATAAATACTGATCTTGATGGCATTTTTACTATGAATGAATTAAAACTGTTCATTCTTATGTATGCAGATGATCAGGCAATTTTTGCTAAAACGCCTGAAACTTTACAGTCTATGTTAACTGATGTGGAAAATTATTGTAATTTATGGGGTTTAAAAATTAACATTTCAAAAACAAAAGCGATGATCTTTGAAAATGGGAGGCACATCATGTATAACTTCAAAATTTATAATAATATTATAGAAACAGTAACCTGTTTTAAATACCTATAAATTATTTAAAAATGGTAATTGGTACCGTACGCAAAAATGCATCGCCCAACATGCATCATTTGCTATGAATAATCTATTTCGTATATTTAACGATGTAGAACTACCAATGGATCAGAAGTGTAAGTTATTCGATACACTAGTATCCTAAATTCTAAATTTTGGATCCGAAATATGGGGTATACATGAGGCTAAGGATATTGAGTCTATTCACACCAAGTTTTTAGTACGCATTTTGTGTGTCAAAAAGTCAACAAATTTATCTAAACTTTATGGAGAATTAGGAAGAATTCCTTTTTTATTCATTCGAAAAATAAATATGATTAAGTACTGGATAAAAATTTTAAAACAGAATGATACTGCTCTGGTTAGAAGAAGCTATCTAATTTTAAAAGTAGATGCAGATCGCAATTTAAAATATAATTTTAAATGAAAAATTAATATGTGTCAATTATTTTTTATTGGCAGATTTTACATTTTAATTTTTATTTTTGTATGTTATATGCATATAAATTTTCCAATGATAATAAATGGCAGTAAGATTATGTAAACAATGAAAGCACCTTGAAATAATTTAAGTTGACAAACTCATATGATTTCATGTTTTTGTAAGTTTTAGTAATTTTACTCTACATGTATAAACTTTAAATTTCTATAGATACAAACATGGATAATGCAAAAGAAATGCAGTGTTATGTTTCAGATAAAAAAGATTTACAAGAACACGGTTTATTGTAGATATGGAATGATCAATTTGAAATCGATTTTCCTTTTTCATTGATTAAACAGAGAATTATTAATAACTTTTTACAAAAATGGTATTCTGATATCAATAACTTCAATCGTTTACATTCATATTGTGTCTTTAAGTATGAATTCGAATTAGAGGAATATCTGAAAGTGATTACTGATAAGAAATATAGAATTGCTATGTCAAGATTTAGAACTTCATCATATAATCTTTTTATAGAATCTGGAAGATATAATGATACTCCACGAGAACAGAGACTCTGCAAATCGTGCAATATGAAAACCATTGAAAATGAGTACCATTTTTTGCTAGTATGTTCATTTCACCGTGACTTAAGAAGTAAATTTTTAAACAATATTATTGTCGATGGCCAAATATCACTAAATTCGAAAAATTAATGTCATCAAAATCGAAATCTGTTCTACTGAACTTAGCAAAATATATTTATTTTGCAATGAAAAACCATAATACACTCTCCAAATTTAAATATCTTTACTACTAACTCTATTTTTTTCCTAAATAACTATAACTCTTTTTTAATATATGTATGTAACAATATATTTAGTATTTTTTGTATATCTAGACCATTTGTGAGAATTATTTATGTAATTTGAACTACTCTCTTCGGATAAAATTTCATTTCTTTTGTCATGTCTGTCGCTGAACATTTTTGTTTGTATTGGCTCTAAACATATGTTTATGTTTTATGCTGAATAAAATTTTGTATTGTATTGTATTGTATTGTATTAACAACCAATTTGTATTTTTGAATCTGACTGGTTTGTGCATGC